TCGACCTTCAAACGCAAACCGCAGAAACTGTCGGTGGCGAGGAAGAGTGGAGACATGGAAATACGCGTCCATCAGGTCTAATGCTGCAGACCAACCCAGAGGACGAACGCACCGGAGGATGCGCTTCTGCGTGAGCATTCTGAACGGCCGCTTGTGCAGGCAGCGGTTCAAAACGCGCAGATCTAGGATTGGCCATGACCCACCGCTCTTTTTGGGCACGATGAAGCGTGGGCTGTAAAACCCGCTCTCCATCTCGGCTGGAGGGAGCGGCTCGATTGCATCCTTCGCCAGGAGGACAGCAATCTCCTCTCGCAAGACAGGGGCGGACAGGGGGCTGACCCTGGTGAATACACACCCGTGACTTGGGGGGCCGTTTCGCGAACTGAATCGCATAGCCGAGTCTGATTGTGCGTATGAGCCACCGCAAAGAGCTGGCCCGCGCTAACCAGGCAGGCAGAGCTCTCGCTAATGGACTCATCGCTACAATCGCTGACGTACCAGCAGTGGGGCAGCGCAGAGTGGGTGTGCTGATCCGGGAAGCTCGTGGGTCCCACGGAAAAGCTGGAGGTGAGATATTTGCTCTCACTCCAAACCCGAGCTCCGGAGGGGAGGCTCGAGGGGTGGGAGAAAGGAGACCGTCCTCCCAGCGCTCGTGAGCCACTGGCGAAACGCACCGAATCTGCAAGCTAGAAAGCATAGCGTCCCAGACTGGCAGATTTCGGGCTGTCACATCTGGGGAAGTGAAAAGTGCCCTTTCATAATGTTTTCATGGCAGTAAAAAGTGCCGTTGGAAATGGGGCCCCGCCCTCCAGCGGGGAAAGAGCAAGTTCCCTCTTCTCCAGATGGCCTGTCATAACTTCGCGCTTCGCGGTCCGTTGCCAGACTTAGCGGCGTTCTGGGCAGGGGGGCTGCCTGCTTCCGAGGTGCCCGACGCGCTCGCTTCGCCGGAGGCGTGTGCGGGGGCGGAGCAGCTCTCGTAGGCGGGCGCCTTCGGCGAGGAGCAGGTATGAATGGCACGGCGGGCGGAGCGGGCTACGGACCGTCGATAAGACATCACCCACCAACTGCTCTCTCACCGCCTTGAATTCCTGGGTGAATTCACAGACAGTGTCGCCGAACCTGGCTGGGGATATGGGGAAGTCAAGAAAGCGGACTTTGTCGACTTTGCGCATATCAGCCAGGGGTGGCGCTCCTGGACCATTAATGTGGACATCGTCCTCCCCAACGCACACGCAGCGGACTCAGTAGTCCGAAGAGCTAAGTCGGCGGCGGTGCGAAGCTCGTAAGCCTGGGTTGGACCCACCCTCGTGCAGCTCGGCCAGCGCCTGCGCTTGGTAGCGCTGGTAGGTGGCTATCGCATGCAAGGCGGAAGCAGCCTGGCCCGCAGCTATGTAAGCTCTAGCTCCGAGGGAGGTAGATAACTTACAGGCTTTGGATGGGAGACGAGGCGGACCCCGCCAAGAAGAGGCGCCGCGCGGATTTACCGCCATCGCGCACTCAACCTGAGGAATCGCCACATACCCCCTGGCTGTTTCACCGTCAAGAGTGGTTAGGGTGGAGGAACACGCAGCACGAGCAGAAAAAAGTGCCTTACAAGACCGCGTGAGCCTACTGTGCACCTCCGGGAAGAAGGGAACGCCCCTCTAGTCGGTCCGGCCGCGGAGCTGGGGGATAAACCATCTCCAACCCACGGCCGAAGCAGCCCGGGAAAGCACGGCTAACATGTCCGTTTCAGGATCCGTAGTGACAGCGCTCACCAGCCCGAAGGGAGCGAGCGGGTCTGGATCATCATCGGACAATGAAAGCCCACCCTCCGATGCCGCGGTGGACATCTGGTCTCCGGTGTCATCGGGCGTAAGGGCTACCATCTGTTAGACGGATCGCTTCCCCCGCCCGAAGCTTGGATGGAGCGCTTAGAGGAGCGGGAGGTCCACGGGCCCGTGGGCGACGGATTATCTCTCGCTGAAACCCTCAGATTTGCCCGAGTGCCCGCTGCAGAGCAGGGGACAACTGGGGTGGTTCGCCCTTTTGCAAAGGCTAACCGCGATCTTGCGCAACAGTCATGGCATCGCAATGACGACATGAACTGCCCGCGAGCAGCGCATTAACATGCTGGACCCCCAGACATGTAACGCAGTGCCCGCGCCCATCATCCGAGGACAGGAAACCACCGCATCCAGAAACGCACAGTCGGAGCGCCGTCCTGATAAGGACGTGCTGCACGACTGTGTTGCTCTTTCTGTGAAGTTTGCAACTTTATACGCACCGCTCTGGAGGACCGGACCCAAAGAACGCCAGGCAAGGGAGAAACCCAGCTCGACCGTCTGCCACTGCGTGTACACACTCTGGACCGGGAGAATGCTCTCGTTCGCTCAGAATCGCTGGTCACAGCAGGAGGAACCCTCATCGACTCGATCAGAAAGTCTCTGAAGCGAAAAGGATAGCGTCTGCTGGCGCCAGGTGAGCTTATATACTCAGTTGATTGCTTATGCCGCTCACCTGCGCAGGCTTGCGCTGCCAATTCATTCTTAATTGGCCCGTTCAATACTCTTTCAGACGAGTAGCTTCTGAACCGAAGCTCCCAATGCGTGGATTTTACAATCAAATCCACTTATAGTGCTGAAGTTCCCCCCGAAGGGGAACTGAAAATTGTCACATTAAGCTCTCACCGGAAGTTTATCATTGGCTTTAAAACTCTATCTGTGCATAGAACCCATTGCTAGTTATTTTCAAGATGCTTGTTAAATTTAAACATTGAAAATGGCTGGTTTAAAATAAAAATACTACGTTGAGAAAAACTTTTAATCTAAATTTCAAATGCTTTATTTATTTATTTATTTATTTATTTTTGGAATTGAATAAAATAAGACAGGTTAAAACCAGAAACCATATTTTTAGTCCAATATAAACAAATGTACTTTGAATGAAAGATTCAGTAGTTTTAGGAACAGGAGTTCACAATTTCTTTATCTAGCTGAGATTCAGCATCAAAGAATCTGTCAAAGCATGTTTTTTTAGTTGTTTGCTTTTCTTTTGGATCTCCATTACTGGACTGTTTCAATAACACAAGTATGAAAAGGGTTTCTGGCCTCATAAGTGTTTGAGAAGCAAATGTAACAAAAATGTTATTTACACTAAGCACAAATAGCAGTAAGTACTACTTACACCAAGTATAAATAATGTCAGATAGGATTTAACGGAGTATGCAAACAGTAACTGCAAGTATCCTTGAAAAAAGATTATTTATTTATTTATATATTATTTAGCGTATCCACAGATAACTCACAACAAAAATACAGAGTCAAAATGACTTCCAATGCAACAGAATTAACACATTAGAAGCACATCACAATAAATAGATTTCTCAATAGAGGTTTTTGTTTTGAAATGAACATTTAGTCAGCTTTGTACGAGTTACACGAGAACCAATGATAAATTCGACCCAAACTGTGATGTACCTTTTTTTTTTTGACATTTACAGTTCAGTTAGGTAAATAAAAATTGTACAGCCTTTCCGAAAGAATTTGATGTCTTTAAACTTTATTGCACATCCATGAACCTTAAATGAGAAGATTCACGAAATTGTAAGAATTTGTGTTTAAAGCAGCCCAACACAATAGGAACAGTTGCACACAGTCACACACTTAACCCTAATATTAGCTTATAGGCAAGGCCAGACAAAATCTGTGGACATTTTTTGCTATTTCTTAATACCAATGGGTTTTGAGAGTATTTAGTAACTAAAAACATATTTTAAACTTAAACTTTTATTAAAGGAAGGGGTGGGCAACATTTTTTCTATCAAGGGCATTTACATTTTTGTAACATTGTTTAAGGGCCACAATAAATTATTCAACATACTGTATGTATATATATATATATATATATATATATATATATATATATATATATATATATATATATATATATATAAAGATTAATATATAATAAACTACAAACTATATTGAGCATAAAGTGTATAAACATTTGCATATTGTTCAGTATTATTAGTAAAATTAATAAGAAAACTGAATGATTATATATTTACACAAATCTACATGTGCAGATTGACCATTTTAATAGCAGAAAAAACTAAATCAGCTAGCTCTTTGCAACTCACAGTGTAGTGAAGAGGACTCTATACTGCTCAGTGAGCGCCATCTTTCGGATGAGACGTTAAACCGTGGTTATGACTTTCTGGTTGTTAAAAATCCCAGGATGTCCTTCGTAAAAGAATAGGGGTTAAACCCAGCATCCTGGCCAAATTTGTCCAACTGGCCTCTGTCCTTCATGGCCTCCTAACCATCCCTATCATAATTGGTTACATCGCTCATGGCTTCATTCATGTCTCCTCTCCACCAATCAGCTGGTGTATGGTGTGTGTGGTCTGGCGCATTATTGCTGCCATCGCTTTATCCAGGTGCTACATACTGGTGGTGGATGAGGAGATTCCTCTCAAAAATGTATAAAGTTATTAATATTTGAAGTTTGATGACTTTTTTTGAAAAATGACCCCAACTTTAGATAAAATTAACCATTTTCTATTTTCATGAAGGCTGTACACATACAGGGTAACAATTGTCTTAGGGGTCAGTTTTAACCTGCCAGTTATAAAACCATATTTTACACCACAAAAACTCAAACATGGCTCACACATGGACACTACAACACACACACCATGCTTTAATCTGCTGGTTTAACTTTTATGAGTATTGACTTGCTAAAACATTTTACACCTACATAGGTACATTTAGCTTTACAAAATATAAACCTTTACTTTAGGTAAAAATGAGTGGAGTCCACTCAATAAATATTGATGAACTACAGCGCAGTGATAAGGGAAAACCGACACATTCACAGAGTTTGTGTTGAAGATGAGTTTTTTTCTTCATGCAAAGTACATTTAAGAATGCTAGGTAAATTAAGGTTAGGCTGAATATACAGGATCCTAAGACCAAATGATGGTTAATTTGAGTCTGAATCCTTTTGTGTTTCTGCAGTACTCTGGTCATGCTGGGAATTTACATCAGTATCTTCATCATTCTTGCCAACATCCTCTTTATCTGTGCCATTTACTCCTGTGTGAAGGTAAAAGCTCTTGTAATGCTGTTCCTCATTGTGTTACAATAGTTTGCTTTTATTCAAATTGACCTGTATGTATCTGTCTCACAGCTCTTCCCCGCTGCCATGCAAACTGTGTCCAAGAAGATTGTTCAGTCTCGCACCAACAGCACACTGGTGGGAGTTTTCACCATCATCCTCGTCTTCATCTCTGCCTTTGTCAATATGGTACGCAGGCTGCCAAATCACTTCTCACACAGCAGTAGTGTTTCTAACACTTCGCCTAACAATCTTATTTCTTCCGTATGATCACAAATGTTACTTCAAAGGACAGTTCTGTCATTGTTTACTCACCCTTGTGTCGTTCCAAACAAGTATGATTTGGAATGTCTTTCATCTACAGAACACAGAATTTGGTCAAACGTCCAAAGGGATGTTTTTAAATGCAATAATAAGTGGTAACGTACAACCTAGAGGCTGCTTGTGCAAAATAAACCCTGACAGGATAATGTTACTTTGTTATAGCTACAGCTGGATGTACATTATGTCTCTTAGGCCCCGTTTACACTGCCAGTTAAATGTGACTCGATTTCGGGTGACACAGATTGGATCTTTTTTTTGACCGTGTATACACGAAAAAAAGCGCATGCCTTCAGATATTCAAAGATCAGTTTCAGGCCTCCTTCATATGTGGAAATAAATCAGATATAAATCAGATACTGTATGTGACAATCATGTAACCAGGCAGATCAGATTTATCGAGGCATTCATTTACTTTGTCATTAAACTTGCGACAATGTGGTACTTCACACTGCAAAAGATGAGATGTCAATCTCATAGAAAGATAAAGAAAAAGTTGCACATTGGAATGAAAAAGCTTGTTCTGTGTGAATCGCTCCTAAATGTGTTTTTTTGTGTTGCAGTTTTCCTGTGATACGCAGAAGCTGGTGGACTGTGTGGCAAAGCAGTTGAACTGGTCTTCAGAGATGGTGACTCCTTGTATCATTCACAATATGTCTCGATCTGTAGCCGATGGCCTGAGTATTTGTCCCAACAACACTCCTTCCTGCCCTTTTCCTGAGGTAAAGCCACTATAATTTGTGGGGAAATTTCGCTACAGGGGAATTTATTTAACATTTTGTAAACTTTATGAGTGCTAAGGATCCCAGCGGGCACCAAATCAAGCATGATGTCAAAAAACAGATGAAGAATGCTAATCGATTTGACATGTAATTGACATCTACACATTGATGCCGTTTTGACCACCAAAATGAAGAGACAAGAAGTATTATAATATAAGAAAGTTTAATTCATCTGAAAGCTTTAAATACAAATTTATATGGATTTTGTATAACTACAATGCATGTAAACTACCTTGCTTTCAAAGTAACATCAAATTAACAATGTTGTCATCAAAAAACATGTCAAAATTAGCTGTAGGACTGTAATCGATTTTTTTAATCTGTTTTTGATGCCAGATGTCAATTTTATTTCATTTTCACGAAGTGATTCAATTAATATTAAATCAATGTAAACATTTTTGACATGTTTTTTATGTAGTTTTGACATCAAGGGGACACAAGGCGTGTTTGGTATTTTCAGACCAGTGCAACAGTAATTTTCATGTTTTGCACCACGTTGTTTAATTAGCAAATCTATTTGCGCCACTTTGTGGACTCAGAGATTATACGGGTGCTGGAAATTTTGGAAAAATGCTTGATTTTTAATATAGTGTTTTCAAGGTTAGACAAGTGCTTGGATTTTGGACAAAGTGCTTAAACCTGCTTGAATTTGAAATTGCAGGGCTTGAAATTGTGACTGCTTTGGTTGCATATGCACCTGAATTTTATGTGAGCTCAAAATATATTTAGGAGCATTTGTGTGATTGCATAAACTGTTGCAGTGCGACCAATTTTTTTTGCAAAATGTTCACCGTATGCATGTATTTATGGAGCTAATAATATGCCAAAACAATCTAAATTTGAATTATGTTCATTTAAATTAACAATTGTAAGTTAAAAATAGATTATTATATGCAATTTAAAAAATGTTTTGAATTTTAAATTCTTTAACTTGAATCCTACTATGGAACAAAATCAATGCCAAAAGTCTTGAATTAAAAAGCTTGTTGAATATCACAAACTGAAAAAAATAATACACCGTATTAACAAGTTCTTGCATTTCAATGACTTGAATTCCAGGGTTTGTATTTTTAGGTCCTGAAATTTAACATATCTGTTTATTTAAGCTGTGAATATTTCAACGAAAAATATTTCAAACACGTTTTCATACTTAAAAATTCAATAATTCACATTCAATTTTCAGATTACACTTACAAAAAATTCAATACCCTTTAAAAATACGATGTATAATATTCAAAAGGTCATTTTCAGTTCATTTTATTTCAGTTCAAATATTCGTTTCCATAAATTCAGTGGATCAAATTCGACTGTTAAAATTCAACATTACATCCGGGAACTGCAGGAGAAGCAATAGATTGCAGATTGAAGATCGCCAGCTGCTCTAGCTTTCACCAGCAGGTGGAGATGGAATAATGTAAGATTTTTAACCCAGTAAACAGGCGAGAAAAAGGCTATTAAAGGCACAAAAGTAGCATTTAATATTAATATCAATGCCTTGGACATTATAAATGATAAAAAGTATGAGTAAAATGAGTAAATGAGGGTTTAGTCATCTATATTTGCCCTTATGTAACGGAAGCCAGCTGGTGATCGCGTAAATCTCAGTCCTCGGATCCAGCGACAGACGTTGTTCTGCAGTCTTTAGCATCCTCGGAGCTTGTCTCCCATGCCGGCTTGCTCCCTGCACGGACCGGTGCGGTTACATGCACATAAACCGTCTTTTGATGAATATGATGTTACACATTGTCTATCTTTATTGACTCTTTCTTTCATAGACGCGAAGTATTACATTGACAGCTAAAGAATATAAACGTAAGAGAAACAGGAGAGGAAATATAATAATAATAATAATACAAAATAGATAAACATTAACAGGGCTAAGAACAATTACGAACAAAGATATTCAAAAGCAGAGAGATTTTATGAGAATGTCACACAAAACAGTTTACTTGGAACTGTTAAACAGAGTTCAGGTATGATTTAAGGTTGGTTATGGATGGGGCGTGTAATTTAAAATAATTTAACATAACGTGTGAATGCATTAAATGAGCGTCTTCAGTTATTATTTAAACGCAGCTATGTCAGGATTGGGATAGGTTATATAATTTTATTATTGAAATTATGATTGTTAATATTAATATTTTATGACATGTATTTGGGCTATTGCACTTAAATAAGTCATCCGTGATTCTAAATTAATATTTCTATTCATCCTTTTTATCACTCTGCCTGTCTTTCTCTTCTTTTTTCTAATTTTTGGGGTTCTGCCACAGTTAAACGTTTGCAAAATGTCTTAGTTTGTCCAGATTATTGTTTTATTGTTATGTAGCCTATAGGCGAGAAAAAGGTATTAACGCAAAAAACGCATAAAATGAGTCGCCTGTGGTTTGATAATAGGCAGTTATAACTGACTTTAATTTGTTTTCAGTATTAAATGAGAAAAACCGTTATGTACAGCAACACACGCCATTACATATATATATAAATATATATATATATATATATATATATAATTGCTTTAATGAAAACAAGTTTAGATATGTCCACCTGTTTTGGAGACATATGCATCACCATATGGGGCATAAGAATGAAGGACGTGTGTTTGGATATAACTGTTTTTTGACCACACTTCATTTATTCATTTATTCATTTGCTGTAAATTAGAACTGAATTTAGAAATTGTTTTGAAACAAATCTTTGCACTTAACAAATGAAATTAAATATATAGGCTAATGGATGTCTTCAGTGGAGTGAGTTTCCACCATACCCTTACTCCACGAAAGTCAAGTAGTAAAGAGTTAAAGTAAAGAGAAAGTAAAGAGAGCGAATAGAGGAGGCTCGTTCTTTGCCCTTGCACTGCAGATGGTCTGTTTAACTGTTTTTTTTGCTAGTAATGCATTCAGTTTTTTCTCTTACAATGTCTGCCATGTAAATAGCAAATGCCCCATGACGTGATGTAAATGACTCTTAAAGGAAATGGGAGATGAGACTCAAAATACACCCATAACTCATTAAGAGAACAAGCACAACCCTGTTAGACCATGCATCCTTAAAATAGCAAAAATGGGTTCGAACATGGCCTTAATGCTTTTGCACCATGTGCTTTAAACTTTGCACCTACATCATTAAAATAGAGCCCAAGGTGGCCGCTGGGATAATTATTAATAGAGAAAAGATGCTGACAGAATCTTGGAATTTTGGATTAATAAATCATAAGTAGTGTTGTGCAGCTAATCAAATCACTATTTAAACATGGAATGCATGCATTATTTATGTTTTAAGCATATGTTTGAATAATTGCTGCAGTTTTGTTCACTACAAATATTCTAAAGGAACTGTGACACTTGTGATTTTGTCACGTGACCTTTATTGCTTTAAAAGTCGCTATAAAAGATTTTACTATTTTATTTGAGAAAAACTATTGTCATATCATGTAAACACCGAGACTCAAGTGCCTTTGTAACAAGCTGTCAAAATAAAAGATTGGTGTGACTTGAAAAAATTATATTTAAAGAAATATATTTTTGTTGCACACAATGAAGTCTAATCTGTTAAATAATAATAGATTAGTAATAAAAGTAATACAATTCATAAACTCGATTTAAGGAATGATTTTACATATTTGTGCCCCAAAAAGTGAAATCGTAAAACTATAAATTCAATTGGAAATGTGTATAGAAGTTACAATTCCTTACTTAGTATGCAATGTTGTGATTCTCCTTGTAGCCCGTAATGTTTACCTTTTATTTGTCCAAAATAAAAGTTTGAAAAATAAAAAAAAAAACATCTAAAAAAAGCTAAAAGTTACTTAATATATCTGTGTGTAATGGTATAGTTAATATGTATATATAAAAACACACATGCGTGCATAAATTGAAGTGAATGTTTGTTTTTATGTAGACAGAAAATATATATTTATATAATAAAAATGATATATAAGCTTAAAAATATATAAACATATGTTTGTTTTGTATAATTTATATGTATATGTGTGTGTAATTTAAATATACAATAAATAAAATACACACACATACATTATGTGAAAGTAAACTTGAATTTTGAATGCAATTAATCATGAAATTGTTATTTTTTTTAATCCCAAGTGGAAAAAAATAAATAGGAAAGTAATATACTCAATAGTAGTTGCATTACTGGTTGAACACATTACTGAAATACTCCAGCAGGATATTAACATACTGTCTTCTGTCTGTTTTCCAGTATTTCAGCTACAGTGTGCTGCTGACGCTGCTGGCCTGCTCAGTGTTTCTGCAGATCAGTAGTATAGGGAAGCTGGCTTTAATGCTGCTCATCCAGCTCACCTTCCTGCTGCTTGTGGAGTGGCCAGAGGTGGCGCTGTTCGACAACGCAGACCTCTTCGTCACTGCCAATGCCCTGTGAGTAACACTGCGAACCACTAGAGGGCAACAAAAGCCTTCACGTGTCATAACATTAGTGAAAATAGTTTTAAATATTTTTTTAAATAGGTAAAAAAATACTCCTAAATACTTAAACGAGTACAAGATGAGATATGCTATTCTGGTTTTTGAACATACTTTAATTTATTTTATGTAAGATTGTGGAATTAACAGTGATACTTAAATAGAGTCTTTTAATATGTCATCAAATGATTCCTCTTCTGAATATGAACTCGAGGTCAAGCTGACAAGATTTTTATTAAGTAACTGTATGAGTTAATTACATTTTTAAACAGTGGCGGCTGGTGCTAAAAAAAATGTGGGGGGGCGCAAACACCAGAACTGACCTAACGGTTGGTAATGCAACAGTGTAAAAGCCATTTATCAGGTGATGTATGAAAAAACAAAAATATGACTAAAGCATACAACAAATGCTTCATAAATCAGAAAATTTTATTTCAATTTAGGTTTATTATCAGTAATGAAGTAATCAATAAACACACGCACAGACACACATAGATGTTGCCTAATCACTGGCCAGTAGCACTACTTGAAAATAAATTTTGCTCTCCTTTCTTTCTGGCTTGCAAATTTCTCAATGACCTTTTGGTTGAAGTCAGTCATCTCAGTCACTAGTCTCTTCTCTATTGACAGCATGGCCAATGCATTCAGCCTCTCTTGGGTCATGCTATTTCTCAGAAAAGTTTTTATTCTTTTCAAAGTTGAGAAGCACCTCTCAGCTTCTGCTGTGGTCATAGGCGTAGTTACCAGAATCTTTAGGAGAGTTACAGTCTCTGAAAAGACTTCCTCAAGATTGTTCTCCATAAACAGCTGGAGTAGGTCCAAAGCACCACAACAGGCTCTGAACTCATCCTTGGAGTAGATGAGACTGAGCTCTGTCTTTAGCTTACTTCCATCGAGCACAGGATAGGCTTTCAGAGTCCTGCTAAGTGCATCTTCTGGAAAAGCTACTGTATACTGCTCAAACCTGTCTGCCTGCAGAAATGTGGCACTAACGAGGTGGTCTGTGAAGGAGAACCGCTCCAGTGTGTGTGTGAGTATGGTATCACAGACCTAAAGGATAAAGACAAAAATGATGTAATTATGTGTCAATTTCAACTGCTACATTAAAATAACCAGGTTGAGTTATAAAGGCAGACCAGTTGTAGTGGTTAAATTCATACTTTCTCAAAACCTCATAAACACATTCATTCTTAGTAAACATGTCAAGCTCCACTAGAAGAAACTGAAGAATAACAAATCATTTTAGATAATAGTTTAAAGAGTATATACGTTTAAGTATATACGTTTTATATACGTTATCACCTAGTCATAAAAATGCATTTACATTTATCATAGTTTTATACAGCCCACTATTCCCAGCTTATAAATCAACAACACTTAGATTCAAAATTCTTATCAACTATTTTTATATAATGCTTCTATAATGAGACACTTAAAGACTCCTATTTGAAAAAGACCTGGTCATTGTATCATATAAACAAGCCAGTGTGCTTGCAACAAATTAAACTGTATTGTTTCATTTACTATCTCTGGGTAAATGTTTTGGTGACTACAATATTATTACTCCTCAAATTATTATTGAGCAGTTCCAGCATTATGGATGTGGCATTTGCAGTAAAAACTCAAAACATAAATTCACAGAGAAAGTATGTTAACATTATATTGAAATATCTGTTTATATTTTCCAAAACTACTGACCACATAGCTATAAGATCAGCTTAATATCAATCTGTAAACATGTTTTGTACTTTAAATGAGGAAAATAAACAAAGGAGTTATGGATGTAACTAAAAAAAAGTCTGTGAGTTTGCAGTATACAACAGGCCTAGTAGAAATTCTGTCTGTTAAACTGCAAAACCCCCCAAAATAATGCTAAGCAGGAGGTTAAGAGTTTTTTTTCTTCTATAAAACAAACATGATTGATTTTATTTGATAATTTTTCATTTATGAGGAAAAAGCTTAGTTATGAATTTGACACCTCTGTATTATGGGTGTGACGGATGTGAAATTGCCTTTCATGTGACTTGGGTAAATAAATAAAAAAAATTAAAAACATTGACAGAGACATTTGAGTATGTCTAAAGTACTGTAAAATACTTGCTTACACACACACACAAAAAAAACACAGAAACAGTTTCGGTATTTTGTTGAGAACTTAATTTTTTTCATGAAAAGGTTAACATTTGCAGGGAATTGCTCTATTATTATTTTTATCTTAAAATCAATGAAAAGGATATTTACAAGTTCCAATAGAAGGTAATTAAACAATACAGTTTAGCTTGTTTGTAATGACTTATTTTGATTAAAATAAAAACTCACTTCTGCTGCTATCTGTTCATGAACCTCTGGACTGAGGGACCGCCGCCTCTTCTGTTGAAAACCACCTTCACTGCATTGGTCAACCAGGGAAAGGAGAGAATGTCTGTAAAGGAATAAGAAAGTGTATGAATAATAATAGTAATATTAGTAATAATCATAATAAATCCAAAACAAAAAAACAGCAACCACCTGATCTTCTGTATGTCCTGCTGGAATTGCTGGATGCTCCCCCTGATGTGGACTGAATCGATGTCCTTCTTCTGGAGTTTGGCATAGAGGATGTCCACATGTGGCATGATGTTGTGGAAAAGTCGCAAGAAAAAATTAAAATCCTGATTCTCCAGCAGCATGGCAAAGGCTCCTGCCTCTCTGACAGCAACAGGGTCAAAGTCCCCCGAGTCTCGAATAGTTTGAAAACAGCGCATGAGGTCCTCTCTGTGCTCAAACACTATTGATGGCACGGCTGTGGAAATTCCACCTAACATTGCTTGATGTTGGTAGTCTATGGGGCCACTACTTTATCAAGGACGTCTGAGCGTTTGGGTGATCTTAAAAAAAAGCTGGAAAATCCTCCAAGGTCAGAAAAAAAAATTCTCACTTTGGAAATGTTAGAAGTGGCCTGTTGCATTATTAGGTTGAGTTGATGTGCATAGCAGTGGATGTAATGGGCATTTGGGTACACATCTTGGATTTTTTTTTGAACACCTGCCGTGGCACCCCTCATCACGCTGGCTCCATCATACGCTTGCGAGATGAGTTTATTCTTTTGATCCCCAGGAAGGATGACAGAAAGACGTTCTTTAAGTACTGTGGAGATGGAATCAGCTGTACTTGAACGCAGAGGAATAAACTCAAAAAATCTCTCCTGTACGTTGTTTTTTGAGTCAATGTACCGCAACACAAGCACAAGTTGACACTGTGTGGAAATATCGGTGGTCTCGTCGGCCTGGATTGAGAGAAATTTGCTGCTCTGTGCCTCTTCAATTATGTTTTCCCTCACAACAGACAACATACAGTCCAACAGCTCGTTCTGCACGTTTTTTGAAGTTCCCTTAAACACAGTGGCATTGTCGAGGTGCTCTTTTAAAACTCCGTCAAGGGAAGCAACAAAATCGACCAGGCCATGGAAGATACCGGGGTTATCCGAGCTCTCGCTCTCATCATGGCCACGCAAAGCCAGCTCAAACGCACCACAAAATTTGACACAGTCTATTATTCTAGACAGGATGTGTCTATTTTTCCTAACCTCTTCATTGTGGCTTCTAATGCCAATCCTGTAGCCCTCATCTAGCTGTTGGAAAATGCTAAGCTTCCCAAAAAACTGGAGCCTCATAGCATTGTCAAGATGGCTTCGGCTACTTTCATGACGCTTGCACTTTTCAGAAAGGTGTTTTAAATCGCGAACCCCTGTTGTTGTCCACAACGTTTCGGTGCCAGGACTTTGAAACAGCAAACACGGGAAACAGTAAAAGGCATGACTTACATCACAACCTGCCAGCCAGCTCCGTTTGTCATAACAAGTGCTGGAAAAGCCCCGAGTGTATGCGCGCCCACGATCACTTGACTGCTGTTGAATTTGCAAGGAAGGTCGATCTGGTCCAAGCTCCTTGATTCTTTTTTTTTCTTCATCCAAACGCCTTGTGAATGGATATCTTTGCAAAGATACAGCGGAATTTTCCTTCATTTCGAGAAATTGCACTTGCTTCCACTATGATTAATAGTCGTCAGTTAACTGAGGAGCTGCTTGCTAAGTGAAAGGTCCAAGTGGGAATGGTCCAATCACATAAGGTCAACCATATAAAAACAAATATGATTCGTTCTGACAACATAAATGGGCGGGTTCGGGGCGCAGAGTGCTGCGCCCCAAGGACAATTTAAAACGGGCCAATTAGAGCTTTTTGTCATATCACATGTATTGCAAAAGTTTGTGTATCTACATAGACACTCATTAGTCCGGCGCCCCGCACACATATGAAAAAATATTGTTCATACATTTTTTTTATTTTCAATAAATGTTAGTATGACTAACTGTAGAGTGTTATCATTAAATCAATGTATTTTGTTAATATTTGTGATAATAAATATTAACATATTAAAGTAGGCTAACTTGAAGGGGGGGCGGCGCCCCAGCGCCCCCTATTGACCAGCCGCCACTGTTTTTAAAATGTAATTATGTAAATGATGCCACAAATATATTAAAATATGTGAAAATATCAGTGTTGGGCAAGCTACTGTTGTAAGCTAATGTAGCTTAAATACACTAAAAGCTAACCTTTGGGAAATGTAGCAAGCTAAGCTAAAAGTTACTTGACAGAAGTAGACCAGGTGTTACACAAAACCAGGTGATACACATTTAAAATAGGATAAAAATTAGTGAAGAGTAAAGAGAAATATTTAGGAATAAGCATTATATTGTAAGTATATATATTTACAACTGAATTACAGATGAATTACACAACATAATGTAGTATCATTGGTAATTACCATAGAATACTTCACAATACCACAATGCACAATACTGCAGCCTTTACTACAGTAAACTATATATATATATATATATATATATATATATATATATATATATATATATATTTATTTATTTATTTATTCATTTTGAGTACTTCTCTATTGTATTGTATTTATTGTACTTACTATAAATTACTAAAGTATTTTTGAGCACAGCATCAGAATTAACATTACTACATCTAAGCAGGTAGGCTACTTCTCGAGGGATGGTCTTGAGCAATCCTGCTTCAGAAATCCTCTCCCCCAATAATCTTTCCATCAACAAATTACTCGTGTTAGCCTAAATGGTTCACCGACCTGGGGTGTGTTTCCAAAACCCATCGTTAGCCAACTAAGGTCGCAAGTTGTGTTGTTATAAACATAGTTTGTTGATTTAACGTTTCTCAAATCTGTCGTTTTAAAAAACATTTGCAAACTGCATCGCCAACTTTTATACTTGCAACTACACCTCTGGAGCTGTAGTTAGAAACATAGTTACTGGCTGTGTTCTATTACCAGTTATTCCCCCTATGCCCAATTCATTTAGTACATTCTAACATTTAAACTTGGAATGATAAAAAAAAGGCATTAGAGTCATCTCTCTCAGGTGTAATTTGCTTTCAAAGTATTTTTACAGTTCAGTTTTAGCGATCTTCATGTTTACAACTCCGCTCCCTTCACAGCCATTTGGAACACAGCCATTTGGAACACAGCCGTGGCTTATGGCAAAAGCTATAGGTGACCTATTATTTAAAATTGGATTTTATGTTACGTCTCCAAAGCTTGTGAAAACAAAAAAAAAAAACATAGCATATGTTAATCGTTTAAATTTATAGTTATTTCTTTAAGTATGTGTACTGTATGACATGAACCTGTTGGTTAGCACATTTCTGCAGTGGTTTGCATGTGTCAAATTGTAAAAGTAGACTTTAAAAATTTTTTTTATAAATAAACAATATCCTACTTAATAATAACTAATAACTAACATGGTTCAAACAGTAGATCTGCGACAGAGAATGTATTCTCAGCAACCCATAAAAACATTGCATAGGAACTATCTATTGATATATACAAATATATATATATATATATATATATATATATAATTAATTAATTAATTAATAATATATTAATATTTAAGAATATAATAAAATAAACCAAGACTGACACAATGTATTGAACACCTGCAATGTCTTCTCAGCAATTCATCAAAATAGTGCATAGGAACTATCTATCGATTTATACAAATAAAAATCATTATTATTAATAATAATAATATAATAATTAATTAATCGTATATTAATAATATAATAAACCTGTCCTTTTGAATTTTATTTTATTTGTTGATGTTCTCTCACTGATGGAAAGAGAACAGACTATTTGTACTCAAGTTATAATACAATTACACTGCTAAAATAATACAAATTTATTAAATAATACTAATATTTTACAAATTACTCTTTTAAAAAATATTCTGATTACTAGTTAAATACTTTTTAAAAATTAGATTTTCATTATGGCCCTTTTTAAGTATAAAATTATTTAGATGGTTTAATTGCTTAAATCACAAGGCTACACATAGGAATTTGCACTAACAAAGTACGGTCGATTTTTCCTTTCATGACAATGAATCATTTTCAATAGCACTGGCAAAACTACCACATACTTGTAAGCCCATAGAGACACTTTTCGTCCATTTTAAGCAATACTTTTAAGCTCTGAAATGTTTAATTAAAGTATATGATAAAAAAGATTTAAATTTGGGGTTTTATTGTTTTTCTTATTTGCTCATTGTTGTCTATACAATATTTTATTTTACGCTTGATCTTAAACTTAAATAATTTTACAAACAAATGACTTCGTTTCACTTGAGGTATTTGAAATATGACAACACTACATTTCTCAAAGCAGTGTTTTAAGATTGTTTATTTTAATAATTGTAACATTGTTTGACCTGTAATGCATGTACAGTTAAGAGATGATTTGAGACAGATCAGGATGCAGTTATTATGTATAAATCACATAAATACCTTATCCAGAAAAATTTCTAGGATAATTACTTTGTCTTAAAGAAATAAAAAAGTTCCACTTTTGCTAAAAGTTCTGGTAATCAGGTTTTACTTCACAATACAGCCAAATAAGTCCGATGTCACCGGTCATGCGTCGATCTAATTCTAAATGCTTGATAGTTTTTGACTAAGTTTAGTCAAGGAGCAAAGATAAATAATTTTTACTTCTAAGAGATTGCAATTGCATATAGTCATAGCATAGATGTTGAGAGGACTTGCAGTTCATTTCAAAAAAGCCTATTCAAAATTTTGCATATCCAGTTATTAGTGATTAACATACATGACTGCGCTCTCGTGTTATAATAAAGCACTCATGACATTTGCAGAAATTAATAATTGCGCAATACCTGCATTCCTACGCCGTCGAAGAGAAGAGAGGGAAATGTGTGTGCAGATTGTAGAAACTCGCAAGAGGAGGTGAAGGAAAGTTGTATCAAAATATGACTCCTCGGACAAATCCGACTCCCCTTCGCATGCACGAGCATCACACAGTGTCTGCAGTTAAACTCATATTGGTTTATTATAATCAATCATTTTTTCTGCAATTGACACCAAGAACAAACATAAAAGCATTGTCTGCTTGATAAGCAGCACATAATTATGTTCAAAAGATTTTAAAACACCAAATAGAATGAATGTATACCCCATTTCAGGTAAATATACTCTAATAGGTAGTGTAATCTACGCAACATTAAGTGTAGTGTGTGGGTAAAAGGGGGGCAGTGTTTCGATGTGATCTGGTTATGTTGTGGATTTGTGACTGATGGTGTTGGTTGCTGTATGGTTAAAATCATAATGGTTAAAGTAACAAGGTAAATCAATTAAAATTAAATTAAATATTTATCTAATATTTTGTGTGTTTTTGTGCATTTGTGTGGGTTTTGGACAGCTTTTGAGCTGGAAAAAGTCTGTTATATCTGGCAACACTGGTTATATAATTTTTTGTCTTATTGGTTTTGTGTCTCTTTGTGTATTTATGTTAAAGTGTTGTAACATTAAGAGTTCTTGTGAATGTGCACTTTAACACTGAATTTTCATATATATTAATATTTATTTATCTTCTCTTTTGTAGTGTTTTCAACGAAACACTGCAATGGTGAGATCTACATTCATCTTTTATTCTTCACAATTCAGTTTGTTTTCGCAAATGCAAAAAAAAAATTGAATCTTCATGGTTTTCACACAGGTCCAATTTCAATACGACTACTGAACAGTGGTATGTATTAATATGATTTTAAAGGATTTGTCTTCATATTATTTTAAATTAATTGTATTTGGTTTTAATGTTTGAAGTCACTTAATCTTTGACCGTATCTGTGTGCTGTATTCTGTTACATCCATCGTGAATAATTGATCCCTGTGGCTGATCTGTTCTCTCTTGTTGCAGCACTTTCAGGGTGACTAAAGTGTCCCTAAAGGTCATGACCCCAGTGATCCTCACTGTATTTGTACTAGCACTGTACCTACATGCCCAGCAAGTGGAGTCAACAGCCCGTCTAGACTTCCTTTGGAAGCTTCAGGTCAGTATTTGAATAATGATAATACATTAACATAAAAAAATTCACCTCTAAGCTGTATTGTTTTTGCTTGTGTTAGTGCATGATAATAATATTCAATTCAATTCAAGTTTATTTGTATAGCTCTTTTTACAATAATTATTGTTTCAGCTTTACAAAGGTGTTCATTATTGAAAAGTAAGATTATTAGTAGGGCACATTTTAGTAGTATATATTAATGAGGTATGGGTGTGTTTTGAGAATAAACCAATCAGAGTCTCATCGCTCATTTGCATTTAGGGCACGTATCCGTCGAGGCGTTTTCCTTTTGCCCAGTATTTTTTTCTGTTGTTTGCATACCAATGAGTGCCCAGGGTTTTTTAAAACCTCAACAGTTGGAGAAGTACTCAGTACTGAGTGTTTTTATAAAGACTGACATTTTCAGCTCTTGTTACGCCCCCTTAAAGAGACACACAAATATAGCACACTGTCACTTTCATGCGACATGGAGTAATAAATGATTTCTGAGATATTTTGTACTGGAATTCATACTTGAGGCTTATATTACATCTAGTAAAAAGGGTTATAAAAGGATCCATTTTAATGTGCAATTTTGTCTCATCGGTTCCTCTACAGGCCACAGAAGAGAAGGAGGAGATGGAGGAACTTCAAGCCTACAACCGCCGGCTACTCCACAACATCCTGCCCAAAGACGTGGCTGCGCACTTTCTGGCCCGAGAGCGAAGGAATGACGAGCTATATTATCAGTCGTGCGAGTGTGTGGCCGTCATGTTCGCCTCCATTAGCAATTTCTCTGAGTTCTACGTGGAGCTGGAGGCCAATAACGAGGGAGTGGAGTGTCTGAGGCTCCTCAATGAGATCATCGCTGACTTTGATGAGGTTAGAAAGGCTGGAGACTGATATTTGAAGATAATCTTTAATTATAACATAACATTTGAGCACTGTCTACTGTTTACCAAGGACAATTACAATCAAAACCGTAATATTACAAATTATTATTATTAGTAATTGAACAGTTAAAGAGCCTCTATTACGCATTAAAAAGGGTCATATTTTCTCCAACAACAAGCTGATTTGCATGCAAGGTCAAAAAAACACTTTCATTGTCTTAAAAAATGTGTTTATTTTTACGTAATTATACCAATGACTCTCATATGATTCGTTTAGCGATTAATTTGTTCCCAAACCCCTCCTTAGCACAATGCTAACCTGCGCTAATTGAACTGATGACCCAGTCTGTTGTGATTGGTCCACTGCGTTCAGTGCTAGACAGAGAGAAATGCCCACCACGGCTATAAAGTATTAGCCAGAGAGTATGTGAGAGCCTAATGCAGCCCAATGCAGGAATGCTGGAACAGCATATTAATCTACTCTTAACGATAACCCCAAGTAAAAACAGGCACACATTTAGTATTGATCCACAATGGCAAAAGTTGAACTGTTTAGAAAATTAACAGATCATGCGTGTAAGAAACAGCTGATGGTGGCCATAGCAAAGGCAAACGGCAGAGGATCGCGAGTTCAGGAACGCAGTAAGAAGCATGCGTCCCGTTTTCAACGTGGTTTTAGAAAACAATATGTGAATAGCCCATAAAGATTTAAACTGAGAGATACAGTGCAAGCACTGATTTATAATAGATAAGTGATTACAAGACACATATTTTAAAAATTACAGAAAATGAGGCAACAATTTTAATTACACTTACTGTACATGTTATGATCGGGAGGAAGAAGAAACTGGTCCTTATACAGTAAACTGTAACAGTTACTGACAAAGTCCCCATCAAAGTCTGACAAAGTACCATACATAATAGTCTCTGCTGCTCCTTCCTTTAATAGCAAACAGCCGGCGATCCCACGTTGCAGCGTAGGCTATTGTACCAATCATCAGAAAAATACTAGGAGCAAGCACAGCACATTGGCTATATTGTGGTGTTGTTGTGAAAATGAACTTTATCCCTTTATTCCCCACAGCCGAATCTCCATCTGTCAGTGATTGTCAGTGTCATGATCAGTCCCGTGATCCCCCGCGCTCTGTTTTCGCAATATTTCATGTAATATTTTTTTCTTCCGGAGAAAGTTTTATTCATTATTCATTAGTTGTATTTATTTATTTATTTTTTTGTTTCGGCTAGAATAAAAGCAGTTTTATTTTTTAAAACCATTTTATGGTGAATAATCTGAGCAATTTTTGTTTTTAGTTGTCTAAAGTACAAACCATTGTTATACAATGACTTGCCTAATTACCCTAATATGACTAGTTAACTTTATTAAACTAGTTAAACCTTTAAATTGCACTTTAAGCTAAAAATATTTAGTAACATATTAATTACTATCATCACGACACGAAATCAGTTATTAGAAATGAGTTATTAAAACTATTATGTTTAGAAATGTGTTAAAAAAAGTCTTCTTTCTGTTAAACAGAAATTGGGGGAGAATATACAGGAAAGCTAATAATTTAGGAGGGCTAATAATTCTGACTTCAACTGTATAAAAGAACAAATCTGAGAATTAACTTCAGATAGATGGAACTTAATTAAAGGGAGAGTTTAACCCCCCCCCCCCCCCCCCCCCCCCCAAAAAAAAAAAGAAGAAGAAAATTTACTCTCTTTTTACACTCTTTCTTGCTTCTGTTTAAGAAAGAATAAATTGTTTTTACAACATTTTATTCTAAAAACATATTTATTATTATATTATATTTATTAATATACTATTTATGTTTTTGGAGATCATAATTTATGTTTCCAGAGCTATGTATGGCTGCATTTCATCTTTAAAATGAACGCTATGGAGCAGTATGACGCTAATCAATATTTACGCACTTACTAGCTGACTGCTTACCTCCATATGGCCGGCTTTCCAGCTGTTACCAGTTTTTCTTGTTAGCTCGCCATGTACTTCGACGAAATTGAGACGCAAAGAGAAAAATTGTTGGTTTGGTTTAGGGAGGTAAGTGGGCAGGTCAGTCAATACAATTGGTTGGGTTTAGGGAAGGAGGAGAGTGGGTAAGTCGATTGGTCAGTCAGTCAGTCAAAAAGTCAGTCGACAGCTGCTGTTACGCAAGAAAAGCAGGCACGAATGGCACTTGGAGAGAAATTTGAGATCTCAAAAAGCATGCACAGTGGCCTTTGGTGGATTCGGGAAAGCAAAAACTGTAAAAAAAAAAAACGTAGCTCCTTGGCCAAACTTGGTGCTGTCCAGAAATGCATATAGAGGTTCATTTTCAGAATGAGCCTGGGTTGTATTTATTGGAAAGCTTACCATTAACCATTAACTGCTCAATGTTTACAGGTTTACAGCTCTCTTCTAAACATCTTCTTTTGTGTTCACAATAGAATAAACAGAACATAATAAAGCAACACATGAAAGTTTGGAACAAGTGAAGAATGAGCAAAATGACTCTGTTGGGTCAAAACAGACCTGAATGCCTTATGTGTAACTTATTTTGTTAACTGAACCCAAATGTTAAAATGGTACCATATAATCTTAAAAACTCTTCTCCTCTACTGCAGATCATCAGTGAAGAGAAGTACAGGCAGCTGGAGAAAATAAAGACCATTGGCAGCACCTACATGGCCGCATCAGGCCTCAATGACTCCACATATGACAAGGAAGGCCGTTCGCATATAACAGCGTTGGCTGACTACGCCATGCACCTCCGCGAACAGATGAAATACATCAATGAGCATTCCTTCAACAACTTCCAGATGAAGATCGGTGAGTCCACTAATTATCGCCTTCCAGCGAATTTAAAAAGATTTGGTCTGCCGAATCAAAGTCATGTGGTGCAACCACAGGTCATGACTGTGTCTTAAGGTCAGATAGCCTCTTGTGGCAACTGACCGGCAGTTAGTATTGAACGTGTCATGTTTTTTCCTGGGAATAATGTTTGTAAAGTAGCTGTTGACATTACATTGCACCAGATTTTAGTAAACCCTCAACAGTACAAACATAAAATAAAACAAAAGAAAAAAAAAACACCTGAAAAACTTGTTATGTGTAATAATAATTAGATGACACAAGGAGAAAATACTGAAACATATTTTATACTTTATATAAAAGGCTTTTTTGGAAATGGAAGCTTAAAGGCACCTCTTATATGGAGAATGAAGTCACATGTAGGGCTGGGCGATATGGCAAAAATGTAATCTTGATAATAATTTTCTATATTGAATGATAACACAGCAGAAATGTGCAACAATGGGAGTCTAAAAGTGTGATTTTTATTAGCAAAATGTTATGTCATTTAGTGAATTATTATCAAGACTGCATTTTTGCCATATCGCCCAGCCCTACATGTGACTTCATTCTCCATATGAGAGGTGCCTTTAAGCTTCCATCACCAAAAAAGTTGGTTATTAGATCAATACAGAGTAAAAGTAAAAGTCCAGAGTTTATCACTGTTATTGGAATAAAGTTTATCGCAATTCGATATAATATTGTTTATCAGCCCAGCCCTTTGTATTTTCTATTGGATTCAAGTTAGGTGTTTGGCCAGGCCATTCTACAGCTTGATATCGAAGTGTTTGAGAGTTTCCTTGACTGGGTTTTGGATCATTGTCTTGCTAAAATGTCTACATTGGTTTTATCTTTATCATCCTGATAATATAGATGTTGGACTAAAGCAATGAATATTAATTTAATAGGAGGAAGGGCAGAGAGTTGCTGGAGAACTACTAAAAGATTTCAGCTGCTGTCTGGGCTTTCACTGCACCTCTACATCTCCCTTTCTTCATGTGTTCAATTCTAAACTAATTAGTATTGTTTTCTTTGCATATATTGATTTCGTTGGTTGTTACCAACATCTGGTGAAAATTTCAAGTCAACAGCATCTTTAGAAATATGTTTTCTGAGGAAGAATGGTGATGTGTTCAATACTTGTATGAGACAAAATAAATGTTTAAAAAATTAAAACATAAATAAAATTGAGGACAATGATGCCACTGAATAATTCTTCAAAAATGAAACATCTAGCAATGAAACATGATGTTTTATGAGTCTTTTATTAAAATTTAAATGAAATCTGAACATATAAAAATAAAATAAAAGCATTTTTATTTTAAGTATAAAAGTATTTGATTATGCTGTGCACTGATGTCACTAAACATATTTAACAACTCCAGGTAGTGTCAAAGTTTATTTGCATCTAATTCTTTCACAATTTGACACTATTGTCATTTAGTCATATGACCATGGGATACATCTACTGAAATGATGTTTACGAAATAAAAAGCAACACATGTTATCAGTTAAGGTTTAAAGAGCTGTTTTCAAACACATAATGATTCAGGAACATTAATTCAACATAATTCATGACTGGAACATTAAATGAGAATGGACATGTTTCAAAATCCTATAAAACCAATATGAGTGCTATGCTGTGATTGTTTGTATGTGTGTGCAGGACTGAACATTGGGCCAGTGGTCGCAGGTGTTATTGGAGCCAGGAAGCCCCAGTATGATATTTGGGGAAACACAGTAAACGTGGCCAGTCGGATGGACAGTACGGGAGTCCCAGACCGTATTCAGGTAAAGTTGAAGTTTACATGGACAACCGAAATCAAGCTATTTATCTTATTCTGAATAAGATAAATAATTTTAAAGGCAATTAAATGAGTTGCTTTTAGAATAGTCCTGTCATGTTACAGTTTGACATGTTATAGAATGATTAATGGCACATGTCACTACGTTCCCAATCAACACCATCCAACTCTCCAGAATTGTTTATATGTATATTAGGGATGGGAAGATTAATCGATATGTATCGATACGCGGTCATGCGCGTGCACGATGCGAGTGCATCGGTTGAGCAGCAGAGGATGAATGAAATTTTGGAAGCAAATCGAGATGCATCGGTTTTTGCGAGATGCATCGATTTTCCGAGATACAGCTTATATTTTTAATATAGAATGTATTTTTTATTTATTAACAAGTGTTGTCAACCTGTTTTTGGCGCATAATTTAATCGACCTACATAAAGTAAGCCTTAGCAACGGATTTGCGGATGTGCACACACTACAACTCAGTGTATCAGGTGTGCGGATGAAGCTAGTGGAGCGCCCTCAGAAAGCGCGAGAAGCAAAACAAACATTTTATTCCCCACTGAGTTTTAAATCTAAAGTATGGCAAGCAACATTATGGATTTAAGGATGGACGACATGACAGGACAGATGCAATTTGCAAAATGTGCCGCGCATCTGTAAAATACGCGGGCAGTACGACTAATCTGATATCTCACTTGAAGCGGCGCCACGGTGTTGTTGTGAAAGCATCTTCTAGTGTTTCTGCATCCCCGGCTTTCGCACTGCTTCAACCAGCTCCAAAAGTGGTGAGAAAAGCATTGAAAGTTTTTTTTTTCCATCCGCAACAGTTCTGCTCGCTCTACGCCAATAACGAATGCTATTGCATTGTTCATCTGCAAAGATATTCAGCCTAGTGTCACGAGAACGAAGGTTTTAAACACCTCCTCCTGTTAATTTTTATTTAATAATATTAATAAAAATATTAATAATAATAATGATAAAAATAATTGGGTGTCACGGTGGCACAGTGGGTAGTTTGACCACCTCACAGCAAGAAGATTGCTGGTTTGTTATATTTTTATTAGCCTGTTGTTTACAGTGACAGTGATGTTTCAACGCAGCATAACACTGCTAGTTCACGACCTTAAGTTTTGAATAATCAGTGGCAAAATATATCTTTGTAAAACTTGTTTTCATAGTTGAAAAGTTAAATCACAATTCTTGTTGTGCAATGCTAAATTTATTTATGTTGAAAGAGTGCAAATATATATATTTTTTTAATATATATTGCACTTATACATTCTGTTTATCTTAAAAATACTTAAATAATATGTGCTATATGTTCTAAAATGGCCCTCTACTGTAAACTGACACTCTGAGAGAAGAGCCAGTTTGTAAAAAAGTCTTGGTTTTGCTTGGTTAATAAATAATCAAACTCATTCAATGGCACAGCATCCTCTTTCACATCATCTCATAAACTTGATCTAATTAGTTAGTGCTGAAATATCGCATCGTATCGTGATATGGGTGTGAATCGTATCGTGTTGCATCGCAATATGTCACAAATGTATCGCTAATATATCGGATCGTATTCTTTGTATCGAGATGCGTATCGGATCGGCATTATAGCTTAGATGCCCAACCCTAATGTATATATGTTTTTTACATATAGTTCATCTTCCATATGTACCATTTTCAGTTTTAGGTGTTTCTTTTTTCATTTTTCAAAAGCAAAAGTGCATTTAAGAACATGCCAAACAGATAAATGCAGATTTAATTTTTTGTTTAAAAAAAATATAAAAAGCAAATAAGTTAACACAACAGAAAAGAGCCTCAAAAATCAAAAGGATTGTTCACCCAAAAAAAAAAATTATATTATACCTTTTAGTTTTACTATAAACTAAAGGTATAATATATTAATAAATATATTATTTACCTTTAGTTGCCTTTATTGTGGGCGACACTTTACTGTCTGGAGTAGTATCCATGTCCGTGGGAGACACAGATCTATTAGAGGAACACTTTGTTAGGGCGGTATAGCAGCAGCCCTCTGCTCTTATCAAGGCAGCGCCTCCGGCATTTCAGCTGCCCAATCGCCCACTTTACAACTGACTGAGTGCATATATATATATATATATATATATATATATATATATATATATATATATATATATATATATATATATATATATATATATATATATTGTGTCAATTAACCCTTTTTATCAATTATAAATTAATAGCAATGTTTTACATGTGTTGGTGTGATACTTTGTATTGTGCAATTTAACATAATTGCCTCTAGGAGTCGCCAATGGAAATAAAACAAAAACACAAAAAAAATACACGTACGCCACACATGGAATTGGCGTGGACCAACGCACATTCTCACGTTAATTTAATCATTAGTAAATACAAACATGAAATCTGGCTTGCGCAAACTTTTTGTGATTACTCAGCGTTGAAACATGAGGCCTTAGGTGTGCTGTATAAACCTGAAGTTTGTATTTATTTAATGGTTTGTATGGAACACAGAGTGCAGTATTGTGCTTTATGAATGTCTACACCTACCCCTACCCTAAACCCAACCTCACAGTAACCTGATGTGTTTTATTAATATCTACTCCACCTACACCACCTAAACCCAACCTACTTGTGGTTTAAGTCCCTACCCTTTGAAGGTCACCCAACCTTCTTGCAGTGTAATCCCTCCCACTTGGAAGTCTGACAAAGGGAACAAAGGAACGGAAGTTCGCGTTGTAGTTTTGTCTAAAAGTGGACTGGAACTCAGAATTTGATTGAAGATTACCAAAACATGACTTTGTTTTTTGTGGACTTACCTGCACGGATTACTTAGTCACACAAAGAATAACAATGTCATGTCCATGTAAAGTTATTGATTAAAAGCAATTGATTTTGTTTTTACTGGATTTCCTACAGGTGACCACAGATCTACACCAGGTGTTGCACAGTAAAGGTTACCAGCTGGAGTGTCGAGGGGTCATAAAGGTGAAGGGTAAGGGTGAAATGACCACTTACTTCCTGAACGACGGACCTCCCAACAGTTAGCAGTGCACTACAGGTCCTCTGGTTTCCCACAATTCCCCGGAGAGGAGCATTTCTCCAGGCAAGCTGAAGACAAACAAGTAGCCATCGCCATCACTTGAAGACAAAAACAAAAAATGAAGATAATTGAAAAAACTAAACAAAAAAAGCAAAGCAGACTCCAGATTGGAGAGTCGTGGCGGTCATGGATATGGCTGTGCACCTTGAAGGACGATTGTTTTTAAGCCTCAGGCTGCTTGAAAGATGCAAAGTCTGTTTATTTAATAAAGGCCTTTATTTGCCGAAGAAAAACGCTGTACATAAGGCATTTTCTCCAGTTTTATTTTTATTTTTTTATTATTATTATTATTATGATTTCAGGAGAATATAAATACAGGTACTCATGTTCTGTTCGGAATTCATTATTTATTTGATCTTGCTGTTTTGTGCAAAAAGTCCTTTATGGGAAAAGTGTGGAGAGAAAGAAAAACGCATACACATTTATACCGTACATAAACGCGTACGCTTGTATATTTGTGTGTCCGAATACAGTATCTGTATAAATTACGAGAACTATTGACCAAAGACCAAAGTATTTAATAGAAAAAACGTCAAAAGATTTGCGGAAGTTTTGAATATTATGTCATGCTCTGACGTCCTCACCCCTTGACGTTTTTTGTTTTTGTTTTTATTTTTGTGTTTATGATGTTTTATCATTTCAAGTAAATTACACTGATCGATTGACCAGCAATCCGGGTGATTGGCTTATATGAAGGACTCAGTTATTTAATTTAAACTCTCGTTTTCCTTTAGAACCTCAAATTCTAGATGGAAAAGTGGAATTCTGTGGATTTTTTTTTTTTTTTTGGAAGTACAACCAGGTCTGGGCCTTCAACGCGTCCTTAACGAAGACTTCAGTTTCATGTTCGTTCAACCATTTCTTCTTTTTTCAAAGAAGTATTTTTGGTACAAAATGAAATAAAAGGAAAAAAAGAGGTGTTTTTTTGGAGGCATCTGGGGAAAAGCCACGGCATATTGGATACCACGGTACAAGACAGTTTATCGAGATCCAATTCATTCTAGAAGGACTTTTTTTTAAAAACAAAAGAAATATATCTATAAATTATGACTGAATACTGTGCTTTGTAATCTCGAAGGGGCATAACTCTTTTCACTGTGAGGTTTCTATGATACGACTAGCTGCTTTCTTGCCAAACTAAACAGCTCAAAAGCATGTCTGATTGTGGTATCTTCTCTACGATTTTCGTTTGTTCGTTTGTTTGATTCCCTGAAGTTTTAATGTTTGGGTATTTTGTATCACCTCTGTATCCTTTTTTTTTAATTCCTATTCTGGTTGTTCTTATATATTTGATTATGATTCCATTCCAGCTGAGGAGAGGGAACAAAGACCCGATTTGAGACGTGTAAGCCAATTGGTACAAACTGATCAACTGCAGTCAGTGACGTAGGAACTGATGAACGGTATTTGTGTTTTCAGAGGCATTATCGTTTTCACCTGGTATTAGCATGGCATGTGTTCAGATTTCATTAAGATCCTTTCATTGTATTTTGTTATGCTCTACATCACTTTAGGATGAATGCTCATGAGTACTATCAAAGCCATTGTTCACCCAAAAATGAGAATTACCTCACCATTTACTCATTTTTCTTCTTCTGTTGAACACAAAACAATACATTCTGAAGAATGTTGGCAAAAATGACATCAGTAGCAGAAACAAGAAATACTATGGAAGTCAATGGCTGTTTAAGTAAATGATGACAGAATTGTCATTTCTGGTGAACTATTGCTTTGAATTAAAAAAGACACTTGAAAAGGATGTGGATGGTTACTGCAATTTTGGTCAGTGTCTTTTGGTACAACACTTGTTTTGGTGCACTTTTTCACAACATGTTCAATAATGATCATGTGTTTGGTAGTAGCTGTAGAGTAGATGGTCTATTGTGTTGGAAAGCCCATTTTTGCCCATATGAGGGTTTGCATTTTAAAAAGAAATCCAATCAAATGCCTTTTTGACTACCTCTGGAAGGCCCTATTTATACCTTGCTTTTATTTCCAATGAGCTCTCAAGTGAACATTGCTCAATACAGGCGTGAGCAAGGTCTAAAATGTGCTGGCCCACTTTCTCAACTGATATTAAAGTGTTAGTTCAGCAAAAAAATGACTCGCTTTCATGTCAGTGGTCAAGCCTGAGACCTTTGTTCGTCTTCAAACACAAATTAAGATATTTTTGATTAAATCCGAAAGTTCCTTCATCCCCCAATGAAAGCAAGAGTCCTGAAAGGTCCAGAAAGGTACCAAATCATCCTCAAAACAGTCCATGCGCTGCCATCAGTGGATCTATTGTCATTTTATGAAGCTACGAGAATACATTTGTGTGCACAAACAACAAATATGATCACTTTATTCAACAGTTTCTTTTCTTCTGTGTCATTTAATGGTACAATGCTATGATGTATACTCCTCATCATGTGCAATCATTTATGGCAGGGGTCTCAATCTTAAATTGACAGGGGCCATATAAGAGACTGACAATTCATAGGATGGCCGCTTTAAGATTCAAGCACAACAAAAAAGTAGAAACCTGATGTAATTGATGCACTCTGACATTCTTCAGAAAGTCAAAACCACAAGTTGCTATATGCGACTGTACAACAATAATAGTGATTCAAAAAAATATGTTTTGGTGGGCTGAATCTTGTTTTATTTTCGATGTCAGTTGCGGGCCGTAGGGAGTAGGAGGGGGGACCCCTGATCTGGGCTAAACATCAGTGTTTTATGTGCGCACAAAAGTATTCTTCTAGCTTCATAATAAAACCATTGAAGTCACATGGACTTGTTTTGGCACCTTTCTGGGCATCTTTGTACCCTTTCTATCTGTGGAGGCTCAGAGAGCTCTCGGATTGCATCTAAAATATCTTATTAGTGTTCCAAAGATGACTGAATGTCTCAGGACATTCGATCGACATGAGGGTGAGTAAACAATAGTAATTATACTTAATTCTATTTTTTTTGGGGTAAACTAATGTTTTAACATGTGTTTTATGTTATTTGATCCCAAATGGTCGTTGAGACAACACAATCTCACAGCAATTCGTAACTTTTTGATTTAGTGGCTAATTCGTATGAATTTGTTTGATCTAATTTGTACAATTTAGTATGATTTGCTCATCTCCCTATGACGGTTGAGTTTAGGGGCGGGGTTTGGTGCCACACCTCCTTTTTAAAATCGTACATTTTTGTATGACCCAACCCGTAATAATTTGTTCAAATAATCCACTAAACTGACAAAACGTAAAATACTTACGTTTCCTCGTGAGAGGAGGCTAGTTGAGACGTTATTGTTTCCACTTGCTTTTCTTTTCTGAACACTTTCATCCACTGTAGAGAAGTGATGGTGAAATGTCTCACACTGGCCACTGTAGTTATTTGGACTTGGGTAACTGTATCAAAATCCAACCCAAAACTTATGCATCCCCAATCCTGACACCATACTTTGTTTTTATATGTGTTAACTAAATGAAAGCAAACTATTAAGTAAAATGAACAAATGAGCATGCCTCAGCATGATAAGAATCACTTTAAATATAGAAACCAATATTTTAGAAAAATATTTGATGCGTAAATTTATGAGTATCTGCATCTAGCTACTAGGGAGTGCTCAAAATTTTTTGGTCTTAGTTTACAGGCTCACTTGGTTTGGACGTCAAAGTAAGAATACTTTGTTTCAGTGCACTTGGTTAAGTGGTGTTTTGTGGCTGTTTGAAAACATAACCATAGTTCAAGTGCTTAATTTAAACTGGTATAAGATATTCTAAATTTTGTGGGCATCAATTAACGAAGTAGTCGAATAAATACTGGATTTAAAAAATGGAACGTGAGAAAGTGTGCAAGCTACAAGGAGAATGGATTTCCATGTAGACAATGCTAGCATTTAAGAAATATAAATACAAAATACATATTTATATGAGTTGCAAATAGTGGCGAGAGATTGTGCGCCATTGGCTTTTTGGAGTCCAGATCAGATATTACACATTGTCGGAATGGGTATATGTCTAACCCTGTGGTACATAGTCCTCTATGCTTACACCTGTACTTACCCAACAAGCATTTTTGCTATTTAATAAACATCTAATAGACATCTAAACATATATATCCCAGCTAAAATTAGACATCTATCAATAGACCAGCCATCAAATACACAAGAATGAATGACCACACGCGTGGCCTGTCTATTTGATGACTGGTCTATTTTTTAATTATATTTAGACATCTATCCCACTCAAAAATTATTATGTTTGCTGTTTGTTCAAACTACTTGTTGAAATACATTTTTGGAGTTTTGGGGGGAGAACTTATTTTATGTTCAATCCACTTAAATTAGTAAAAAAAGAAAGTTAGAATAAGTGAACTCTGCATTTTTTACAGTGTAGTTTTTCATTGACATGTCAAATTTAGCCTTGCCTTAGCCAGGATATCTAATAAACACAAAAGTGCTTGTGGGTGCTTTTGTTAACTTTTATTCAGATTGGCGAAAACACACTTCAATACCAGGTGCAAACAGAGCCTAAGAAAAAAGGAGGGAAAATGTGTATAAAACCCATACATTTCAATGGCATTTAATTAAACGGTTGTTAGCCAGTTACATAATTTCAGTACACATGCAGTGCAGATAGCAGTGCATTTGCCTTAATTTAACAAACTTCTGTATATGATAACAGTGCCTCTTTGTATCACAGTCTGCAAATCACTTTTGAGATGCAACGCACTGCAGCAAAGTTCATAACTCGGCCAACTCTTTCAGTAGATTGACTTGCAAGATGACCAAAGCATAGTGTTTTTTTTCTGCTATATTTTTCACTTGTTGAAAACTTGTGGTATTAGCTTCGTCATTGCATGTCAGTTGGTCACGTTCGTACCAAAAGCAGGGCGCCATGTTAATTCCGTCCAGTATGTGCAATAAAAGTGTACATGAATGAAGATTCGGTGTGAGGGAAACAAAGACAGTGTCAGTTGGACAAGCAGGAGTGTATTTTAAGTACTACTGACTCTCACATTGACAGCCTGTGTTGAATCCTGATCGTCTTTTCTTTTCTTTTACCTTTTTGTTTCATTGTTGTTTTCACTTCAGCCGGAGATCTAGAAAAGGGACGAGCTTTTCAACTTTGCAAAAAAAAAGTTGAGAAAAGACTCTTGAATATAGACAAACTTTTCCCCTCTAAAAATAAAAAATGTCTGTTTTAGTTGGTTTTTGTGATTGATTTTATTTTATTGTGGTTTTGTTGAAAAGCCCATTTATGCCTAGGAAGAAATGTTTGATTTTATAAGAAAAATCAACCACTATTTTCGTAATACAACAGAGCATCAATTATTTGCTTTCAGTTTATGACCGAAAAAAAAATTGACATCCAATCAGCATCCATCCTTCTTTTAAGGGACTATCCGCTTGTTAAGTCGTGACATAAGGAATACTGTTTCCGGGTCCAAGTCACTACTCATTTGAATTGAAAAAATATGACTACTTTTTAGTCATATCACACAATAAAGTGAATTTTATATACATATTGGTGCACACAACATTCTATGGACTTTCTGCGATATATTGTGATCGAAATTTTTTAAAGTATTACATCACTTTGTGTGTCATTACCATTTGTTTTCTCCCTATACAATTTGGTATAGTGATTGGACCCGGAAGCCGATTCACACTCTTAACAAGGGTAAAGTCTAGATCAGATATTTGGCCTGCCAGAAGTGTGATATGCACATTAGTATAGCAGCATTTTTTTGTGGCGCTGTATAACAATAATTAATATTTTTACAGTACTGTGACGGTTGGGTTTAGGGTTGGGGTGGGGGTAGGCATTAAAAAATACAATTTATTGGGTAATTTAATAGATAACATAAATAATACTCTGTACATCTACTGTTTTTACGTTACTGGGATGGTTGGGTTTAGGGTTGGTTTATTAGACGTTAATAAAATACAATAAATGGGAAATTTAATAAATATTGTAAATAATTCTTGTTAACTTCTGGCCGCAAACCTATCCGATCTAGCAACAACCCTTAACCAGCAGATTTGTAGAATTCCCAAACCCTTTTTATTAGTGACACCAATGGCCATTAAGTGAACAACAGTAAGCACATAACACAAGAAAATGAATGCAAATCAACAACCCAATATTTATTCTTTAAACAAAGTAAAAATGAATCTGAAAAATACATTTACAGTGATATACTGATTATGAATATTCTGATGGCATCTACACTGAAATGACGTTTAGATGATATTTGCTGTTTGTTAAAACTGCTTATTTAAAATGAGCTGAAACGACACAATTCTTGATGGTTTTTTTTGCAACTTAATTGATTCATGTTCAATCCACTTAAATTTGAAAAAAAAAAAACAAACTAAAAGTTAACTTAATTCCTTTATGTTGCCCCAACACAAATCAATTGTGTGGAACCCAGCATTTTTTACAGTGTTGATGGGTAAATATGTGCAGCACTCTTTGCTCTCAATAAAAATAAAAAAAAACATAAATTACAGCAGTGAAAAAAACGAAATTCAGGAAGATTGATTTTTTGCACAATCCTTGCAATCCCAATAAAGGCAAAAACACCCAAATGTGTTTAAAAATAGACTTAAATCACCTGTAATGCTTTTTAAACTCTAAAAATAAAAAGTAAGTAATACGTGGAAATTCTTACATACCTTTAATGAATATTTAAACATCATACAATAAAACCAAAAAAAGTGTGTTGGTATGGACTCTAATATAGATTTGCAGTAAACATTCTTGTAGTAAGAATTATATATATATATATATATATATATATATATATATATATATATATATATATATATATATATATATATATATATACACATACACACATACAGTTGAAGTAAGAATTATTAGCCCCCCTTTCAATTTTTTTCTTTTTAAAATATTTCCCAAATGATGTTGAGTAAGGGAATTTTCACAGTATGTCTGATAATATTTTTTTTCTACTGGAGAAAGTCTTATTTGTTTTATTTCAGGTAGAATAAAAACTGTTTTTTAGTTTTTTCAAAACTATTTTAAGGTCTCTTATATAGCCGCTTTAAGCTATATATTTTTTCGATAGTCTACAGAACAAACCATCATAATACAATACCTTGCCGAATAACCCTAACATGCCTAGTTAACCTAATTAATCTAGTTAAGCCTTTAAATGTCACTTTAAGCTGTTTAGAAGTGTCTTGAAAAATATCTAGTAAAATAGTATTTACTGTCATCATGGCAAGGATAAAATAAAACAGTTATAAGAAATGAGGTATTAAAACTATTATGTTGAGAAATGTGTTGAAAAAATCTGCTCTCTGTTTTCCAGAAATTGGGGAAAAAATTAACAGGGGCTAATAATTCTAACTTACATTTTGTTATTATTATTATTATTATTATTATTATTATTATTATTATTAACAACAATTATATTTGAGTAACCATAATTGATGCAACAATTTTTTGCATCAAAAATTTTTATTTGCTTCAAATTATTCCTATATACACATCTTAGATTTGACTTGTTTTATTATTGAAAGTGACTTGATTAAGTTACATTTTATTGATGTGACCTCAAATTTATTATGAAATTTTAACCTGCACTGCAAAAAAATAATTTTGTTTGATTTTTTTGTAATAACTACCTTTTCTTAAATCAAAAAGCATTTTATAGACAAGCAAAAATATTTATTAACACAAAATATATTTATATTAACACAAAATATATTTTTGTGTTAAGGAATAATATGTCTAAATTAAGTGAGTGTTTCTTTATAACAAGCTAAATAATCTGCCAGTAGAGTGAGCAAAATAATCTTATGTCAAAATTAAAAGCAATTTTATTTCACTTACCCCAATGGCAGATTATTTAACGTATTTTAAGTTAAGTTTTTATCATATTATTTCTTAAAACAAGACAATATTTTTGCTTTCTAGAAAATGCTTCATGGATTTAAGAAAGTGTAGATATTTGAACTAGAAACAAGACATAAAAAAGTAAAGCATATTTTACAGTGTGTGAATTTTGCGTCGGGCGAGGCAGTGGCGCAGTAGGTAATGCTGTCGCCTCACAGCAAGAAGGTCGCTCGGTCGCTGGTTCGAGCCTCGGCTCAGTTGCCGTTTCTGTGTGGAGTTTGCATGTTCTCTCTGCTTTTCCGGTTTTCCCCACAGTCCAAAGACATGCGGTACAGGTGAATTGGGTAGGCTAAATTGTCCATAGTGTGTGGATGTTTCCCAGAGATGGGTTGAAGCTGAAGGGCATCTGCTGCATAAAAACTTGCTGGATAAGTTGGCGGTTCATTCTGCTGTGGCGACCCTGGATTAATAAAGGTACTAAGCCGACAAGAAAATGAATGAATGAATTTTGCGTCAATCAATGCAGCTTGCTCAGTAAATATTTTCTGCAGTTGGTGAGTTGAGCCATTTTGTAATTCAAATACCAATGTTAAGGTAACAACAATCTGATACGGGATCAGTTTCATCCACCTGCAACTGCTTCCCAATAGTAATGAAAGAACATTAACTCGGAAGGAAATCTTGCTAGTCAAAAATGTCAAAATTGGTTTCAATTTATTTACTAAAACTAATCTTGACTGCCATATTATAGGTATGTGCAAAGAATAACAATTAGCACATGCAGTGTGGCCCATGAGTGTGTACAGGTACATGTTACCCTTGCATTAATGTCAGCAGTGTGTCCACTGCACCTCCTGTTCTGCAAGGCAAAGTGATGAACTGCAGTACAGATGTATTATGGGACTGTGATTGCACATTTTTGATCATGTATTGGTCTTCAAAACAAACTGAAGTCTGGGTTGGTCACTGACATCTCATTCACAAACCTGAGAAATGGGTTAAAATAAGTAAGCATTAGACCTTAATTATCAGTTGACACACATTAGAGTATTTCTTCTGTGCAGCTCTATATAAGTTTAACACAGACACACACACACACACACACACAGCTTAAGATTCTTCATACTTGGTCATTTCGCTGTTTTTGCGTGGGAAGTGGCGAGTTTGAGTCCATGGCTCCTGGTTCTTCATGCCACCAGTGGGAATCCACCAACCGTACCGCTGGTTTTCTGTCACAGGTACACGATACAGGTCTTTTGGAGCTGAAAAACAAACTTAAGATTTCACTAGTCACACAATAACCATGAAGAACACTGCCTATGAATGAAGATCTATAGTAAATTAATTACAGTCACTCTTAAACTTGCTGAGATTTTCATTTCAATATGTTGATGTACTTCCAACTGAATATTGAGAAGGGGGCAGGGCTTTCCTTTACTGCATCATTCCCTCATAGCAAACTAATGGTAGAAGATAGTGTTAATATGCAGTTGCTATCGTAATTCTCAGGTTGGCAACAACAGAAGGACCGCCACTGCAAATGCGTAAGCAAATGGTCAGACTTTGATTAAAGATTACCCAAACAAACTCAATTTTTTCAGTCAGTTAACTTGCAGGAATTAATTATTTGCCTTAAGAATAACAATGTGAGCTAGTAAAATAAACATTGTCAATTTTGATTTACGCGGACGTTAAAATTGCATATTCACAACTATATTCTGAACATGATGTAGCCTACAGTGTGCTAATACAGTATATGTCACTTAATGACAGAACATTTCTCAAACTCAAACATAATTAAATGAACAATGTCATTTATACTCTATAAAACAACAGCCTTTCCATTTAGATACCTAAAGCCACTTGTTCACATGATAAAATACAACAGTAACATACTATAGTTTCAAGAGTTCACACTTAGCTGATGGTTGATTATAAAGCTTGTTTGGCATGCTGTCCTGGGAGAGAGCCCTAAGCTCATGATATCCTCGAGCCCAGGGCTCTCTCCCATTTGCAAGGCCAGAGGGGAGTTTAAGCTCAGGTAGATCTCGAGAACTCCCCTGCTGTAGTGGCTAATAAACAGATAGTGATTGCTTTTAAAAGATAACTATTTACTAAGAGCATGTCTATGGTGCCGATTTGGATTAGTCAATTAACTTAAGTTGTACATTTTTGGATGGTGGGAAGAAACTGGGGGAAACCCACATAAACATGGGGAGAACGTGTAAGAACAGTGACGTACTTGCTGTGAGGCAACAGTGCTAACCACTAGGCCACCGTGCCACCCATCTGGAGGAGGAGTAGGGGTGGAAGGGGCAATTCTTTAAAATGAAGAT